ATATATATATATATATATATATATATATATGTTTGTTTGTTTTTTCCCCAACAAAGATAAAATAAATTGATCAAAAGCGCCAGTAAAGATATTTATGTTACAAAAGATTTCTATTTCAAATAAATGTTATTTTGAACTTTCTATTTATCAAAGAATCCTGAAAAATCAAATGAATCATAGTTTCCACAAAAATATTCGGCAGCACAACTTTTCAACATTGATAATAATCCGAAATATTTCTCAAGCAGCAAAACAGCATATTACAATGATTTCTGAAGATCATGTGACACTGAAGACTGGAGTAATGATGCTGAAAATTCAGCTTTGATCACAGCAATAAATTACATTGAAATGTATATTCACATAAAAAGTTATTATAAGTAAGGAATAACTGAAGACGGGCTGTTGAATTCTTAGAAAATAATGCACACCCAAGGTGATGATGCGGCCACGACGTGAAGCAGAATTCTTATTTTCTAAGAATTCAATGGCCTGGAGTCAATTATTCTGCTTATACTACAGTTACCGCACCTCAAGACATCGATCAGATGATATATGTCAAGGCATTCGTCTGGTTTTTGTCCTTAAAATGCTATTGTTCCGCTGGAACTGCTTCCGCGTTGTACAGATGTCGGAAGTGATAGAAAAGTGTTTATTACATTTGAAATATGGATATTTTTCTTACAAACACGCATGGATTCTTTACAGGAGGCCTTTATTCACCCCCGGAGCCGTGTGAGGCACTTTTTATTATGGATGCGTGCACTTTATTTAACGTCTTTTGGACTGTTGAACTGCAATGATAGAACTTAGAAGTGCCAGGACAATTTTTAATATAACTCCGACTGGATTCGTCTGAAAGAAGAAAGTCATATACACCTAGGATGGCTTGAGGGTGAGTAAATAACAGGCTAATTGTAATTTTTGGGTGAGCTAACCCTTTAAGAAACACTGTTTACATTCATGCATCCAAAGCAACTTGCAATGTAATCAGCAATTACCCCAT